TATTAAAGTAAGACCATTCTCCACACTAGAAGATATAGGTATTGTAAGTAAATATTAAAGTAAGACCATTCTCCACACTAGAAGATATAGGTATTGATTAGTAAATATTAAAGTAAGACCATTCTCCACACTGGAAGATATGGGTATTGATTAGTAAATATTAAAGTTAGACCATTCTCCACACTGGAAGATATAGGTATTGTAAGTAAATATTAAAGTAAGACCATTCTCCACACTAGAAGATATAGGTATTGTAAGTAAATATTAAAGTAAGACCATTCTCCACACTGGAAGATATAGGTATTGATTAGTAAATATTAAAGTTAGACCACTCTCCACACTAGAAGATATAGGTATTAATTAATAAATATTAAAGTAAGACCACTCTTCACACTGGAAGATATAGGTATTGATTAGTAAATATTAAAGTGATGGTTTTCTTTCTACCCCACATTATAGGCAATTAAGTATAACCTAAAAAAAGCTCTTGAGGAGGCCCAGGAATTGAATTCAGACCATTTCAAGAAATATCAAGAAAAGCTTCGATCAATAAACCCACCTTGTGTTCCATTTTTTGGTAAGTGAATCTCCTATGTTAAGGCTTCTGTAATTCATAAAATATACTAGGTAAATCTGTAATATCTGAGTGTCCTCGTGTTGTTTTCTCATTTCATTAGTAAATAATAAGTAAAGTTTTATGTGTGGGACATTATTTTGTTTCAACTGCTAGAATGACAAAAACAGGAGCTATGCATTGTAGATGTGGTGTTTGATTCCTAAATTTGCATCTCCAAAATCAATTGAAGAAAAAATTATTGTTATAGGCATGTACTTAACCAATATCCTACACATCGAGGAAGGAAATCCTGACTATCTTCCAAATTCTGAGGAATTAATCAACTTCAGTAAACGTCGAAAAGTTGCAGAAATTACCGGGGAGATCCAACAGTATCAGAACCAGCCATATTGTTTGACTATACAGCCTGAAATTAGAGTAAGCTTAAATATTTCAAAATTAGTAGTGTTTTTTTATAGATTTTGTAATGAGATTGTCATCTTTTAATATTTGATTCGCTACCTGTAGAGTTCTCTAGGTATTTCTGTGTTTATGCTGAAAATGAGATTTATCTAAACTGTCTCCCAGAAAATAGAAAATGCTATGTGAATTATGTGTGTTTTATTTATACTTTCTAGCATTATGCAGTAATGTGGAGTTTGAAATAAAAGATCAGCTTTTAGTTTTATAAAAACAAAATAGTGTTTCATGTTTAGTCATTTGACTTTTCAATAGATGTTGGAGAAACTTTCTTGTTAAAAAAGGTTAATTAATTGTTGTGTTTCTGGTCACAGTCAGCTTGTTTTATATGTCCTGAACTGTTTTATAATATTTGTGATCTCTTCAAAATGTATAAAACATATAAATTTGTTCAGTTAAGAGTATTTAAACTAAGATTAGTGTGTATGTGACTTGGACCAAATAGCTTCAACCATTTTCTGCTGAAATTGAAACTGAGCACAAGTCTAACTTAAACCAAACATGATAGATGTTTTAACATTTGATCCCCAAACTGTTTGTTAAGTGCAGACAAAACTTTCATAGCAAAATTGAATCTCAGAAAACAATTGATTCTAATCAAATTTCTGTCTTTTGTGTTTTTTATGATTTAAGAAATGATAAAGAAAACTTAACACAAAAAACAGAAAATTTGATTACAAATTATACAAACTGTGATCTTGATTGTAGTTTACAAGTTGTGGAAAATGTTATCTATCCTTGTAATGAAAACTTCTAACAAAATACAAGCAGATTCAAATGAGGTACTTGCTGTAGTTTTTTCTTCAGTTGCTACAACTTGTATGGTATTTGAAATAACTTGGTTTTATATGTTCACATGTTGATTTTATTTGGTGTTTTTAATAGCATTTCCTAGAATTTCTCGATCCTTTGGAAGGACTCTCAGAGAAAGAATTCAATGATTACTTGTACAGCAAATCTCTAGAGATAGAGCCAAGGGGTTGCAAACAACCCCCAAAGTTTGTAAGTAACTGATTTTGAATGTAACTGTATTTCTGACATTTTGAACAAGTTTTTTATTGTGTAAAGGTAGTAGGTTTCGAGAAAATCAAGACATACAGGTTGTATGTAGTTTAATTAGTTTATTTACAGTAGTTTACATGAAAGTTGCATTGATTATTTCTGACACTTTGTTTTTAATGTCTGATCTTATTAAACAAACTTACTTGTTTCTGTGTGATTTCTTTCTTTTTCTTAAGATTTCAGGTTAAGATACTATATAAGCCTTGTATATCTTGATTTACCTATATAAATGTTATTAATAATTAATTGTGTTTTTTTTTACTTTTGCTGAAATTCTAAAAATGTGTTAAAAACAATGAGAATTTATAACAAGGTATAAATTTAAATATTTTATGGTGTTTGTACATCTTATTATAGCATATCACTAATAAAAAAAATAAGGGTAGTTCTACCATTATTAATAGGATTCACTTGAAAGTGAAGTTCGGTACATGTAATTCAATGTTATAAAATATATACAAGTTTAAAGGTCACTCAAAATTTATGATTGAAGAAAATTTTTCCCATTTTATAATATTACATAATTTCTAATGAGTGATGAATGATAAATTGTAGTGATTTTTGTTTTTGTAAATTTTTAATGTGACTTTTTTATTTGTAAAACAGTTTACCTTGAGTTTGTTTCATTTTTGTATTTATAAATATTCTGAGAGTGAAGCTTGTTATGGTTATTTAAGAAATTATGGCATTTTAATTTTCTCATTGGATGTATGTACAAAGCTGGATTTGCTGTTTGATGAGTTATTTTGTTAAAATAGCCTAGGAAGTGGCCAGATTTGTCTCTGAAATCGCCAGGAATCAAACCCAGACTCTCTGGACGCTCAGGGCATCATCTTGCTGCACTGCCTTCTGACCTTCGTAGTTTCAGCAGTACCACCCAACTTCTGGGTAATGATGATGATGACAGCCAGTCACCACAAGTTTTAACACCTCCCACTCCCTCTACACCACTGACACCACCTCATTCAGCAGCAGGGGTGAACAGTGACCATAGTGTGTTTGCACCCGTCATGATTGGAGCAGGTAAGTGCTTAATAAATATTGGAGATTATGAATAATTTAATTATATATGTTCTTAGACGCTTTTACTCTAGCAGAGGTTGCAGTTAAGATTTGTTTAATATTAAATTAAAGTTTTAAATAAAAATGAATTAGGTAAAGTGTCTTTGATTATATAACTATTGTGGCATTGACATGTCAACAAAAATCATGTATTATTTAGTGTAAAATCTGTTTCATGAACATTACAACCTAACTGCCGTGTCTAAATTTTATAGATATTAGAAATATTAATTTTTAGAACTAATTTTTTTGTGTGTTCAAAAACAAAATTTGCCATGTTTTAAGTTTTAAACAAGTTATGCATGATTAAAATCCTGTCTTAAATGCTCCAAAAATATTTTGTTCTATCAGATGTATAAATTAATTTACACTGAAATGCACAATTGTGACAGCCAGTGCAAATTTAGGTTAGTAAAATGTGAATAATATAGTTTCCTTTTGGATATAGGACAACATTTCTCATATAATGAAAAACAACCACCTATGATAGTATAATAAATAAAATTTAACTTTGTCTTAGTTGAAATTTTTATTACTAAGATTTTAAAGATCAATATATAACTAGTTAGCATAGTAGTAGTCTTTATTATACAATTATTTTAATGGTTTAAATTCGTATTTGTTTATTGAGTATTGACATAATATGTCAGTTTTTTGGAAAGAAACTACGTATTATGTCTCTTAAATAATTTCTTTCAATATTGAAATTTGGAACAACTAAGTTTCTGTGGGTAAATAAGCTAGACCACAGAATTAGTATATATTAAATTGTATTTTACTAGTTATAATCACATATATTATATTATTTAAATATATAGTATTCAAGTATGTAAAAGTAACAGATTATAAGATTAGGTTCTCAGTAAATATCTAAAACATTTCAGTTACATCATATGTATAACCTATTTTGTTTGACATTTGGTGCAACTTAGTTTTCCTACCAGATAACTTGCTTTTTAACATACCTTTTAGGTAAAAAAACTGATTATATAATTTGATCCACCAGTGATCTTTTTATAATAAAGTAGATGCACTCTTAGTTAATATTTTGTATACCGTTATATCATCTGTATGTGCAACATTTGCAATTTAGTGAAGCTGATTCCATTTTTCATCCATTGAACTTGTTTTACAATCTTATTTTTTCATATTTCCAATTTTTATTACACTGATCCATAGTTATTTAATAGGCAACAACTGGGACTACAATTTTTACAAGTTTAATACTCCTTTGTGTTGTAAGATGTGAGAATTTAAACAGTTATTATTTGAAACACAGAAATTTAATGATTAAAAAAAAGACATGCAGATAATGCATGCTCTTGTCATGCATGTTTACGTTAATATTTAACTTTATTTTTTGAGATCGTGATGTGACATCGCAGACCTGGAGCCAGCTGGTGGCCAAGTCACGGTTCTTTTTTGGATCAGGTACACAAAGAAAACCTTTTTTTTTAACGTGTTTTGTTTATTTGTCAATTTTTATACACACATTTAACTCTTAAGTGAACTAACTTTGACATTAAATATGATGCATGATTGAACAAGATGACTGAAATAAGGAAATTTTTTTTATGTATATATAATCATTACTGCTTGTATTTTCAGTTATAGCTATTATTATTTTTCAATTGCCCTTTACACAGTTATTAGGAGATATTTTAAACCCTTTTCCATCAACACATTAAATATTTGCTTTCCTCATTACTAGCTCATATTTAACTCGCTTTGGCTGGGATGTCTAGATGTGGATTATCACATGTTGATATTAGAGTAAACTTGCTTGGATAGATGTCTGGAGGATGATTATCAAGCATAATGTTTCCTCTTCATCTTAAATGTATTACAGCCTTAGAATAGAACTGAAAAGTTATACATAGAATATTTTTATGGTGAATCAAATCTGCCTTCAGTATTTTGTTTTTTTATTACACATGTCAATGTCATCAGGGTTTTTGAGAGGTTGTTCAACTATCACATACCTTGTGAAGATGTGTATGTGTGAACTGATGATGATATAGCAGACCATTTGATAGTTACCCAGTTTCATGCCATTATTGTCTTATGTAATTGGTATAAGTTGTATTTAATGAGTACAGTTATGTTGCCGAGCATATTTGTAAGAAATTTATGTTGAATAACATGGGTGTGGGTGAACTTCTGCATTTCGTGAAGAAATTGTATAATTTAACTACTACACTCACGTTTATGTGTTTAGCAGTGAATATTTGTCAATTTGTTGTTCATGTATGTCTCTAGTCTACCCATTCTGCAAGTTCATCCTTCATATGAATAGTAGTGAGTGAAAACGACGATCTCTTAGTCGTATCTGTTGTGTTTATATATGATTGTGCAAAATTGGAATTTACTGCACCAAAAAACGATCAGAATTGTACAGTGCTCATTATTCTAGTAGAAGGCAGAGACATTTCTGTGGTTTGAAGTCCTACAAGAGATGCAACAAGCTTGACAGTGTGAAGAGTTAAACATTTAAAGCTCTTTGTATTTATTCCTCCTGTTTGTAATCATGATTTGTATAAACTCTGTGAAAATGTAAAAGATTCTACTCTAGCATTTGTACAGGTTTCATTATTTTAGAAGTTTTACTGTAAAAAATTGTTAGATCTTCACTGAGTTTTGTGTTTATTAAAGCAACTTTCAAGATGTCTGAGCTTTAAAACTTAAGTGGTTCATAGCTTAGTGTAAAAATTGTTAGATATTCACTAAGCTATGTTCTTATTAAAATAACTTTCATGACATCTGAGCTTTAAAACTTGCATGGTTCATCATATACACTAATTTTGTAAATTTCATTTGTTGTTTAGCTCAGATTTAAACAAATATTATACATAATCCATTTTTATTTTTGAAAATCTGTTTATTAGTGTTCTTTTCTTTTATCATAACTAGTAGAATATGTCAAAATTGAATTTACATTCTTGTCTAGCCACACAAGGTCGAATATTTGACCTCTAAGATATACTCTTTCTAAACGTTCTTTTAAAACTAAAAACCATCTCTGGCAATGCTGATACAGTGAATACTCATCTCATCTTCAAAAGCTTTTAATTAGCCATCCCTGTTTATGCACTTGTTGACAGAATTATCAAAACAATGAATCTGTAAACAAAAATTTTGACAATTACACAACAAACTTATTCAAAACTCACGTGAAAACAAAACATGTTCAGATGTGCTTATTGCACATGAATTTTCTTTAAAATATGAAAATATAACTTTTTTTTACTAGTATAAAATGACATAAACACTACTCTGAAATTTGACTTTTAAAAAATCAGTTTGATGTTACAGCATTACATTAAAATTATGACTTAAACATCTTAGAGT